AGAATAATAAATCCAAAAAGTTGCATCCTGAGCTTCACTTTTACAAAGGCCAAACAAGTGTGTTTAAACACCTCCAATTTCTTCTGTGGAACAGATGTGTAATTTGGCATCTTCTTGTTATGAAATACATCTCATCAACACACAGCAATGCTTGGGGTGAATGTGCTTAAAAGCAGCCCAAGCATTCAGTTTACTCTGCCAAACCACAAACTTCCTGTGTATGGTTAAAAGAAAAACTAGCATGCATAACACATTGATGGGCACTGTTGCTAACATGTTCCATCTCTTCTGCATCCTCGAAGCATTGGCCATTAATCTGAAGCTGCAATTATAAACTCTAATCAAAAGAGAAGCCATTAAGTAGGTAAGATATGAAAAGAAAACAACTTTTCAGGAAAAAAAAGACCGTGCATGCAGAAAGCAGCAAGAAATTTATCTAATTAGAGGCTTAACATTTACTGTTGAAGCACATAGTAGATGATGTTGAGGAAACTTAATCATAACCCAAAGGAGCACAATCATGTTTGAGAACCGCAAACATGTTAGCAGCCCACCTGAAGCACTGAATGAGCAAGGTCATGATTGCCATTTGACTGACCAATAGAGCTCACTGGATTGTGGGAGAAATCCCACTCAGAATCTTCATTTTCTGGAAATATTGATCGGTCACTAAAAGGATAGAATATGAACAAACATCAAGAAAAGAAGAATAGTCATTAGGCAGCACATACCTCTAGCCTCATCTACCATCTGATCAGCACTGAAAACCCAACCTTGTCCCTCTTCATCTTCTAAAAAGTAGAAGAAACAAAAACAGTACATTGTCATGAAATAAAAAGGTAAGCACACCATAAAACACCAAAAGAAGTTCTCATTTCTCAATAATCTTCAATCTCCATACTGTGTAGAGAGACCCACCTTCAATAGGATCAGGATTCAGCTTGGCACACATGGAGAATATCTGAAACAAAGTGTCCACCGTTAAGGAAGAAATCAATAGAAAAGTCAGCATCCACAGTTAAACAGTAAGAATACCAGTACATAAAGAATCTAAACAGACAAGCTCTGAAATATACACACATTGGCCAGCATCTGAAGGAATAGGCCTCGTCTTTGTGATCTTGGATAAATCTAAAACCTCATTAGTTTCAGAATCTGGGCTTTCAGACTCCTCTTCACCATCTTCTGTCTCAGTCTTATCAAAAGAAACAAAAAAGAACTTAAATTGGCAACACATAACCTGAAGGGAGGAAAGAAATACATCAATAACATACAAAATCCTGTCTTCTGTAGACAATCAACAACTTAAGAGGCAGAGACAAAGGGAAAAGGGGGGATTACAACCCATGCTTGATGTGAACCTTCATGAAAAGATAAAGTTAAAAGCAAATACAAGACGCACTTATCTGGAATCAAATTGCAACAAATCCCCAATCTAAATCTCTATTGTGGTTCACTGGATGGGAATGGAAACTAGTGATTTAAGAAGTACATGAATTTTGAACTTCATTTCTAGTTAGAATTGGCCATCAAACACTCAAAAGACTAGCACAAATGAAGACCATGTTTACCGTTTCCAAATGAGTTGATATAAAAATATAAATATCGAACGTAAAAAGTCACTATATGATGGCCTTCAAATGTTCCAATGTCAGTTTAACTAGATTCTGAACAATATTGTGCTATTGAAACTTGATTATCTACATTTTTATTTGCTCTTCAGTTTCATTGGCGGTTTTTCACTACAAAATAGGTTCAGGAACCCAGGACTGCTCAGTTTTAAAATCCCACAAAGACATTCCAACCCCAACCCAGATACCAGCTAATCTAAGCAACAAACAAGTTAGCAGGATTTGCAACCAACCTCCCTGTAATTGCAGCCAAACTTTTCGGTGCCGCAATTTATTTCATCACCCAATTAAATTTGCACAGGCATTCAGCATCCAAATGGACTATAACATGACAGATTATGTTGAATGAGCAATAGAAAGGAGCTTGAAGTAAATACAAATTCATATCTAAATAGACAGTGAGACAAGAGCATACCTGACTGTCAATACAAAGAAAAGTGTGTAAGCCTCTAGATCTCTTGAAACAGCATGCAGCGAGATAGACAAGAAATCAATGGCATAACCATTCGTCCTGTCAACATCGCTCAACCACACCACTTGTCTAATAACAGAAGAAAACAACAAAATCATCAATTCATCACCATTTTTTCAGTGCGATCAAAACAGAGAAAGTAAGAACTATGGATGAATCTCTAGAGACAAAATAGAGGGAGTACTTCGTGGTGATGTAGAGAGTGCCGAGGGGGACTCAGGAGCACGATCGCCGAGAGCGATGTAGACTGAAGGCTGGACGTGCACGAGCTCCTCTCCGCCACCGGTGTCGAGAATAGGTTCGCCGGTTCTCGCCGAGAATTGTCGAAGCCCCAACACCATTTTTCTCTTGCAGTAGTCATGTGTTCTGAGTTCTGGTTGTGTGTGGGTTTTTCCAAAGTTTCGGTGTGA